CCTCTCTCCGTGCTGGGAGGTCTCCTGCTGAAGATGAAACCCCGTGCTCCTCGCTGTGCCCGTGCACTGAGCGGTCCTGCCCAAGGCTCTGAGAAGATGGTGTGGATTCCTGTCAGCACGGAGCTGCACGTGGCTCTCCTGGCTCTGCTGCTCCGCTCGCCAGCTCTGGGGAAAGCTGGAAGAACAGGAAAGCTTTGCTCCACTGGACTTCTCACTTTTTTCCTCCCCTTTATGCGTGTTGTCTTCTAATAATACCTTCTCTATGAATTCATCGCCTACAGCACAGACATTAGATAAATAAAGCTAGCGTGGGCCCAGAGCCAGACGGGATTGCATAAATATACTGAAATCTTGAGTAGTTAGGCTTTACTTGCTGAGACAGTTTAAGTAGCGCTTGTTACTGGTGCAAATTTTCCTGACGACTAGAGGAGTATGAAGCTGGAAGGCAGGAGGAGGAAGGGGGCTTGATTGATGGTGCTGGACCACTCACGGGTGTTCCTGTTTGCCTTGGTGTCAGTCTTTTCAGCAGCTACACAGTACATTTCCTTCTCCGGAGTTACATCTGCGCTACCCTGAGATGGATGCAAAGTGACACTGAATTTTCAATATTTCAAATAAATAGAGACGGAAGGTAACAGGAAACAGTCCCCTTGGTCAGAAAGCTATGTCGTCTTCTTTTGAAGCACACCAACTGAAAGACAGCTGCGGGAGTTAAGCTGGGGGGACGGGGATGTGTGAAGCAAAGAATTAAAGTGCCTGACACTGCAGCCCGTAGTTGTCTGGACTGAGGATGTTGCAACTTGTTCGCCTGGCTTTGGCTTTGGCTTTGCACAGAGAAAGCAAGGAGATTCAGAGCTGCCTCTTCTTTCACTAGAGCCCACATGTCACAGGGCCCCGTGCTCAGGCCAGTGATGGACGAGGGGACAGGGCAGCTCGGTGGGAGTTGGTTGCTTCCTTTAGCCCAAGGAGTCCTGTCTTACTTCCCACCAGGGACTGCGGGTGAACTCTCTTCCCAGATACTCACTTCACAAACATGTGTATGATTGGGAATTATGAAAGATGCTGTTCCAGATCTTCCTGGGCTTTCCTAGAGTTAGCACCATGAGTAAAAGCCATCATTAAAGTTACTGTGTTCTCAGGTATTTTTATATTCATACATCATCCATGCTCCAAGGCTTTTGATGATATATATGATATATTTGTGTCTGACTTCAGAAACCCTGCTGCTCCAATGATGGATCACTCAGCAACGCGCCACCAGTTCAGGCCAGATACTGGTGGGCTCAGTTGCTAGGGGCCAGCCTTTCCTTTGGTGTAAGATGGCAAAGCTCCTGTGCGTGGTGACGTAGTGATTTACAGCACTGGAGGACGTGGCCCTCACAGTTCATGTTCAGAAATGTGAGAACGTGTTTCAAAAGAAAACAAACTAACCTCCCTATCTTTCAGCAAAGGCCAGTCTGAAACCATTAGGCTGACAGGCAGGACTTGCTGCTGGTGGTGCTATTCTTGGGCAGTGTAGTTGTGTGCCTTGTAACTCACAACTGAAGCTCATGTCAAGGAATTCAAATCCAACCAGGTTAATTTGGCTTGAGGCTCCTTTTCAGACTGTTTTCTGCTCGTATATGTTTGGGCAGAAAGCACAGTTGTTTGGAAAGATCTGAATTGTACTGAACAGAAATGTCCTCACCTAAAAAGATATTGATGGACTGGCACCTTTATAAAGAACTTTCTCTTACGTTACTTCACTCTCCAATGACTCGCTGCATGTTTATGTAACAAGGCTCTCTATTGCCAATGGACCGTGGTTCTGTAAAACATTTTGAAATGCCAATAAATGACATGGTTTGGAAGCTGTCGGCTAGACTTTTGCGAGTAGAGTTTAAATAAGCTGGGCGTATCTGCTTACTCGTCTTTTATTTGTTTAGGTGTAGGAGAGCAGAGCAGTTAGCTTGACTGTGGGTTTTATGAAAGTGTTTGGGGAAAGTGCATCTGTAAAGAACCATGCTAAGTTCATCTCCATATCCTCCCTCTTAACGTATTTGGTTTATTTTATGTCATATTGTCAGTAGATTATAGCTGGCCTTATGGAAATGTCCGTGCTGTTTGTTGGCAATACCATTCTTCAGAGTCTCACGAAAGTGGCTATTTCACTCTTTTTAGCTGTTGATCAGCTTCCAGCTGAAACATAAACCTGAGCTTGTGAGCTCTGGTGGGCATTAAAGATCTCCAAATGCTTTTTGCAAATGTAAAGGTATTAACCCCAGAGGCTTGGCTAAATTCCAAATGAAGGAGTCTTATTCTGAAACCTTTAGATTTCTCCTATGGACCAACGGAATTTAAGATACTTTGCGCTTCTTCTTAGATCTCATGTGATTAAAAGAGACTGGCCCAGGTCACACAGGAAGTCTGCTGGGGAAAAGGACTCACAACTCAGATTTCCCAAGTTCTAGGAGAGCTTCTGGCCAGATTAAGAGATTTGCTAAGTGGGGAAGTGCTGAGGTTCGTAACCAGTAGTTCCTGTGCACCCGTGAGGTCTGGTTTCCTCTGGGAGAGCACCTGTGTGGACTCTCTGGTGGTGGAAGAGGTATGAGCCCTCGCTCTGTCTTGGTTTCTCCTCTAGGGAACACAAAGAAGCCCTGCCTTCTTTATCTGGCAATCTGTTTCCATGAAACTTGAATAATGTAATATCTCTGAGACTGCTGTTACTTTCACTGAGGTTGGCCATTACAGAGTGTGTTCCTGGGAACGAAACCAGGTTAAATCGGAAATGCTGGAATGATGATCAAAGTAGCAGAAGTGGCCTGCTGCTTGGTCTACCAAGATAAGCAGGAGTCAGATCAGTGACAGGGGGAATCCCAGAAACATTTTTGGCATTTTTGTCTGTGGGAAGAAACGAGTCTAAAGAGTGGATCCAGCTGTCTGTGCAGATACTGAACCTGACAGCAGCGTGACTCCTCATGGGGGATGTCAACCACTCGCAGATACTGGGAGAGACCAGTGGGACATTCTTGAAAGTCATGACACCTCTCCAGAATAGCGCTTCTGGTTTTACTGCTGAGACATGCTGTGAATTTTCACACTGGCATCTGGCTCACCTTTTGTGATGAAATGCAGTTTAGCTATGGACTGAGGGTAGACAATTAAGCCAGGATGGTGAAGGTGGCAGGGGCAAATACTGTGTGAGCAGAGTGCTTCTAAAATGGAGCAGAGACCTGCTGCTATGATTTGCTGATGTTTTGTTTAGTGCCCAAAAAAGTCACCTGAGTAAGAGGACCGGGCAATTTCTCCTGCCCTTCATCATGGAACCACAACCTTTTGGCTGTTGGCTCTCTGAGCAGCGTTGCCTTTGACACTGCTGTTCAGCTCATCCAAGTCACACTGCTGTTGCATTTGAAACAACAAGCTTTTGATAAAGCAGGCACCTAGAGCGTTTCTTGGTCTTTAAGCCGGGGAGCAGATACATTAAGGAAAGATTTGCCAGAAAGCTCCCCATGGTGGGAGTCTGAACGCGGTATCAGAGAGCATCCCTGGTACCCAGGGTGTCTGTGAAACGCAGTATCAGAGAGCATCCGTGGTACACAGGGTGTCTGTGAGCTTTGTGCCTTTGGAAGCTGTGTTAGCAGCCCCGCTAATTGCTTTGATTTGTAAAGTGAGCTGCTCAGTAAAGCACCTAGCAGGAGAAGAAACGCAGATGAAAAACAGACCTTGATAGAGTGTCTCATTAACTAAAAACGCAGCAATTTCTGGCATTAACCCACCCCACGTGCATACGTAAGGCTGGTTATAATATCTTGGCAAATATGCAATAAACAGACGATCAGAGCACACCTTGGAGCGGATTCAGGTTTGTGCTACTCGTGTTTTATGAGGGCGTAACATCAAGCTGGGGTAACGCAGCATGGGATCAGCGCTCTGGCTCTTCCTCCCTGCTTTTGTGAACATTGTGCCTTTTTCTTCCCATGCGCTGAGCTCACACTGAAGAAAACAGAAACAGGATTAACTAGAGGCAGCGTGTAAAAGTACCCTTTCCAAGGCTAACAGAGCTCATGGAGGCAAGATCGATCACCATGCAGGCAATGAGCCTTGCCACATCTTTGCTCCCAACTTAAATTCAGTCATTTGGTAGAACAAATTGGACCTGATTAAAACCGACGTGTTCAAGTTTTCCAATGGCCAGGGTGGCTGGAGCTGACACCTAATGAAAGACACTGGGGTTTTCTTTGTTTTTGTTGACAGAAAGGAAAACAGAGCAGCCACATATCATCCATCTGAAAGAAGACTATAATTACCACTCCCAGAAATTATTTCTCATTTAATGAAATGTCTCTTTAGGCTGAACAAAGGAATTTTGAGAGAGGAGAGCACTGAAGGGCGGAACGGAGAGCACGGGCAAGAGCACAGTTCAATTACAGGGAATAAAATACTCTTCACGTTATGACGCAGTTTGTGGGAGATCTTATTAGAAACCGTGCCAGGCCAGAGCAACGTGCAGTTTTTTGTACAGATAGTCTATATCTATTTATACTGACCCTGCCTGCCGTGGGCCACTATCTATAGTTTGCCAAGAGGCATGAGGGACATGCAGCTCATTCCTGCATGCAAGTTTCCAAAGGGATCTCCTTTCTTTTCTACCAGCTAAATTCTGGAAGTGGGGATGCTGCCAAGTCTGGGAACACCCTCTCCCACATTGGAAGGGGTAATGTCCATGGATGCATCTCTGGCAATGGGGAGGAGGGTGCAGATAGAGAGCAATCCTTGCTTTTGAGGTGTCATCTTCCCTCTGTTGCTGCAAGGACTCCAGGGGTGCCATCAGCCCAGTAGGAGACATCCCTGGGTCAGATGGGGGAGGTGGAGTCTGCCTCCCCGTCAGCGCTGGCTGCAAAGAGCCAAGAGGGAACCGCACACTGCTCAGGACGTCGTACCCAGGGCAGGTAGCCTTGGCCTCCGGTAGATGCGTGACTGAGGCTTATTGTCCCCATCATGGTGGGAAGAAGTTTTACCTGGCTTTCGTTAACGCTGTCAGTAGCAGTGCTGGTGGAGTTTCTAGTATCCAGCCTCCCGGCTGTACTGCGAGCATAGACTTTTGGTTATTTTCCAAGCACTTGAAAGTCCATGACACATTTGGCACTGGGGGAGCTTGCGAGCAATGCATGGCCCAGCCATTTCATGATGGGCTGGAAAAGCTTGCAAGGAAGTGACCTCTGCCAGGTCAGCTACTGGCTTCCCTGCGATTTCATTCCCCATAGCATCACCTGGCTAGACCGGCTCCAGCCTTGCCATTCTCTGCAGCCAGTCCAGTGGAGTTAGACAGTTGTGTCTGTCCTTTTGCAGGCAGGCCAGCTTGCCTAGCCCAACTCTGCAGAGTCCTTGAGGGGATGTAGAGCTTCAGGGGTAGCGGGACACTCAGCTGAGCTCTTAAACAGTTGGTCATTGTTTATCTCAGCTTAACAGGATGGTTATTAATTTTAGAGCAATGCCCCATATCAGAAAGCTGGTATTTTTAGCAGTATACATGTCTTTTTTACGTATTGTCTTTGGAAAAACTAGACATATTATAATTTTCCATCTGGGGCAGACTTACTGGACTTAACCCCTTTTTTTTCTTTTTCTCTCTTCTCTCTTCCCTTTTTCCTTTTTTCCCTTTTTCTCATTTTCAGAAAACAGTGCTGCTGGTATATCTTTTTATTGCTTGGATTAAGTGAATACTATGCACTGTAACGTACAGTAAAGTCAGACCATGTAGGAAATAACAGTGGATTTAACCTCTAGCACTGCTATAAAAGCAGCCTTAGTAAAATCCGAAGTAAATAATACAGCTGTGGAAATTACCTTTCTCCAGTTTATGCTGGTGAAAAAAAAAAAGCCCTTCTGTAATTAAGTAAGACCTTTAGTCTTTGGTGTTAAGTTTCATAGACAAGCCCAGGAAGGGACCATGGGATCATTTTAAATGGCTCCTGAAAGGGGCTTAAAAGCCCAAACAGTCAGCAGAAAGAAGAATACATCATTTCTGAGTCTTCTTATGATAGAGAGCTCAGGTCATAACCACATGGGCTAGGCAAGATCAAGAAAAGGGGCAAATCTAGAGCCCTAATAAAACCCAGAGTAAAACAGCAGACACCAAGTCTTGGTGACCTACAACCAGGCACAACTGTTTTAGTGTCAAATAGCTCTATTCATCTTGCTGGCCTGCCCTTGCCAGGCAAGTTTCCACCACTGCTTTCTCCCAAGGCTCCTGCAGGGAACTTCCTCAGCTTTCTTCTCCAGCCTCGGGCACTGCTGAATCAGCACATCTCCTCATCGAACCAGCCTTGGAACTTCATTAGTCTGTCGGGATGGACCCACATCGCTTGGGGGCGAGAAGGGCAGGATAGGATGCAGCACCTTGAAGCTGCCCTATTGGCATCAGGTGCCGTGTAGGTGGCTCTGGGGTGATGGCTGTTCCTGTCTCTGAGAGCTGAGCCCACCATGTTTCCAGGTCCCTTGTATTGTGACCTGGCTTCTTTGCTGGGCCTTGAGGATCAAACGCTCCTGTTCTGAAATCTTGCTGAAGCTCCTGTGAAAAGGCCACCACCCGCTGCTGCCTGCGTGGCTGTAACATCTGGGGACAAATGCCTTGTGGCATGTGGACCTGAGCTTTTCCCAGGGCCCTTTTTAATCGCATTATCCCCTGCTCTGGCAGCACACACCTGCGGTTTGTTGACCTGCACATGGTTGTAGTGAGACTGGAAGGAAAACATCCAGCTAGTCTCCAGCAAACCAGTCTGCCTTTCTGCTTCAAATCAGAGCCCAGGGGTGAGAGCAGGAGAGATCCCCTGGTGAGCAGGTAGGAGTGCAAGTGTCTCTGGTGGCACCCTGTCTCCAGAGTGGAGCGTTAGCACCAGTTTCCCCTGCAATGCTCTGTGCCAGGCCTCTCATTGCCTGTGGTCATCAAGCAGGCTGTCATGGAGGCTGCAGGGAAGATGGGGCAGGTGAAGCACCTTCCAGTACATTTCCCTTGCAACCTGGCCTTCCTTAGCTGGTGCTTTCCCCAGTCCCTGTCACAGCCCAGCCTGCTTTCACGGGACCAGGAAGGACAATGTTGCTGTTGACCTCAGTGTGAGAAGGATGAACCTCCAGCAGCAGAGCTTCCAATGAAAATAGCAAATTGGCACAGTGCGGGGAATTTGCCCATAAAAACGGAGATCCTGGAGCCCACCATTTGTTCACAGGTGTGTGCCCTGATACCTCCTGCTGTCCTCTCTATCTCTGCATGACTGCAGCCTCTCAAGGAGGGCCAACAGCGGCTGCATGGCCCTCTGCCGCAGTCAGATCCCATTAACAGTGACTGGAGGGCTTGTACCAGTGACAGTGGGTCCCAATGAGGGAAACACTAGCTTGTGAATTGTATCCGTGTAGTCAACCATGGCAGGGACAATAAATCCTCATGCAAAGCATACTAAAGCCAAACCCATGTCTATCCTGGAGCTGCTTTTGTCTGATGTGGATATGAAAAGGTGAGTTCCCCGAGAGACACAAATCCTTAGTGGCTGATCCTCAGTGACACCGATCTTGTTTTGATGTTGCAGGGGTGGTTTTGGTGTATTAGCATAGAGCAAAGTTTGGCTAATATGATCTATACCTGATCTACAAGATTTTTGCCAATAGCAGTGCTCTGCTGATATTCCTGTATTAGGAGAAACCTAATGGCTGTTAGTTCTTTGTTAACCAGGAACTGAGCCTGGTCAAAGATTAAAATCTAATGGCCAGATTCTCCAGGGCCCAGCAACATGGGAGGAAGTGAGTTGTCCCTACTTAAAACCAGGCTGCATTTGTGTCCTTGATCTCTAGAGGTGTGGGCTAAGCTGGACTGCTAGGGAGAAGGTGCAGTCATTGGCACTGAAATAACGACTGGCGCGCGCTGCATCCCTTGAGGAGGTGGAGGCTGTAGAAGTGAAGGGGCACTGTGTTTGGTGGAGGCAACATCTCCTGGTGTTCCTGCAGGACCAGGTGGCTCAGCATGCTCTATCTTTCCAAGTGGCTTGCACTTCACAGGGTCTAGATGTCAGTTTGGACTCCATATCTCATTGAAGCAGGACAAGTTGCCAAAGAGGCAAAAGAAAAGGGCCCCTAGGGTATGGCCAAATATTCTGTGGCACTTTGAGGGATTGTTGCTAATACGGATAGGCAAGTTGTGACAAAGGAGAGACAGCGTGCTACGCTCTGACAGTCAAGAGGCAAGAGTCCTTTAGACTGCCAAGGCAGAAATAGCAGCTCTGAGCCCATTTAATCAAGGGTTATCAATGTAGTCATGAAAACAGGCAGCTTGTTGGAGTACCAGACGCTTAATGAGGTTCAGGAGACATCTGAAGTGAATGGTTAAAAGTGCAAATGCTCAACTGCCACTACCTTCAGGCCAATTTGAGAAACTCTCTGCTGTTAGGATTGTTGCATTCTGGCAATCACCCTAACATAATTAAGTAGTTTATTTTATCGTGTTTTGATAAATTCCAACCTTCACCCGCTGGTTTACCCTGTGAAGGCTTGGTCCATATGCTGTCTAATATTTGTGGTATACAGGGATTTGTTTCTGCTGTTCATTAATTCTTTCAAATCAACTGTACTTGGGAAGGAAAAATATCGATGGAAAAATAAATAGGAACTTTCTCACCAAGGGCTGCAACGTGTTTTGCCCTGAATCCTGCTTCACCTTAAGCCAAGTTTTTCTAGTCTTGTGAAATCACAGGTTTTCCTGATATAAACTGATTAAGCATACCTGTTTGTGTTCTAAAACTGATATCCAGGTGCAGGACGTTACTGTGAAAAAGGTATAATGTGACCTCAGCAGGACTGAGCTTCATTTTTGGTAATGTCACTTTGACATTTGTTAGCCAAAACAAATGCAAATAACATGCTGGAATGATTAAAGTATTCAGTCTCGTCTTAACTGATGTTTTGACTCTGCGAAGTAGGTATAACTTGCACTTGATTCTCAGGGAGAAACAGCTTCTAGCAACAATTCTAGCTAGAAGAGTGTCAAAAGCGCATGGGAATTCAATAGCCTGTTGTTTGCAGGTCGCAGAGGTAAGTGGGAAGCCAGCCGTGGGGTGCAGTCCTGAAGATGACCAAGGGGGATATTTACTCAACTGTAATTAACTTAATCAGCCACTGGGTATCAGTATTGTCCCACATCAATATACAAAAAAAGGTATTTTTATGGAGCTGAACAACCTGAGTGTTAAAGAGGCATTGCTGAGTTCAGGTGAGGACTGAAGCTGGACCCGGTTTTCAGGTGCGTGAGCGTTATGACCAGAGGTGTGCCAAAGTCCAGAGGCGCTGCCCAGCTGCTCCTGGAGCATATGCGCCGTCGGGACTGCCCTGTGTACAGATTTCTCCTTCGACCGCCAGACATGCAGGGGGCTCAGAGGAGGCCGGCGTGATGGGCGCAGGCAGTGAGAGCGGCTGCCGGGTGCGGGAGAGGCCCGGCCGAGGGAGCTGGGCTAGCAGAGCGCTGGTGCGAGGACAGCCGCCGGTGCGTGCTTCAGCCGCGGGGGACGCTGGCAAAGACTTGTGCAGGCTTTTCTCCTGGGCCGCTGGCCTTCGCTAGGGATTGGACTCCAAAACCAGTGGGATTTCTGCATGAATTTCCATTCAGTTTTGGCTCCAGGTAACAGTTGCTTCTCTTTCTGCTGTCTTACAGGCTTGCTTCTCTTGCCAAAATGCTAATTTAGCCCTTTAGCGATGTTTAAGAATAAAAAATCCCTCCACTTCCCAGGGTAATAAAAGGCCAAAAGGAATATAAAAAGTTCACCAGACTGGTCAGTTCACTCCCTGCTGTGTCTTCCCGGGGCGTTGCAGCAAAAACACAGGCACCAAATCCAAAGCAAACAGCTTCCCCGGCCGCGGGAGCATCTTCTGCCCCTCCTCGCCACGACTGAGGCTGCTCTTGGCGCAGGAATCGTTCCTGTTCTCTCTTTCTCCCATCCTGAAATTTCCCCGCCAACTTCTGGGCCATTTGTGCACAGAGACCCAGCAACAAGGACTTTTCCCTCCTAGTCCCTTTGGAAGCGAGATGGTGAATCTGTCGCCATCGTCCCTGCTGTGCTGCCGTGCCCAGGCCACCCCACAGAGAGACCCTGCTAAGTAGCCGGGCTGAACTGCAGAGACCCAAGCATC